GAATTTATTTTACATACTTCATTTACTACGGTGACTACCAATAAATACAAGAATACGTGGTAGAGCCACGCTACAACTATATTGTGGTTGTAACATGAATGGGTCGACCCGACCGGAGCACGCTCTTACAGAATACCAGCGTAAAATAGCAGCATAATGCTGCTGTGTTTCGTATGGTGAGTGTAGAGAATCGGAGGCTCTTTTACTAGAAACATGCATTCCATCTTAGTCCTCAAGGGTGAAAACGCATCTGCATTTTGATTCTTAATCGAGGATAGATGTAGATGTCTGTGGGCCACACCATCCACTTACCACCAGGTGAACTATGTGCGCGTTTGTCACTCTTATTTTATAAAAAACTACAGTTTATCCAAAGTTAGTTTTTTTTTCATTGATTGATTACAGCCCTTCACAAAATTGCGCCACTTGTATCCATAGACTTCTGTTAGCCTTGTAGTTTAGTAATTATTAGGTCCTTACATATGAAATTAACGTTTTGTCGTACTGACCAATTTGATCTGAAATATCTCCTCTTTGGTTAAGAATTCCAAATTCAAATTTATAAATTCATTTAGCTGGTACATTTGAGTTTTGAAAACAGTCATTCATTTGTTTTTTTCCTCATTATTTTTTCTTTGGCGTCGCTTATTACCGCACAATGGAAAACATGAAATATCGGTATATTTACGAGTACGAGTTCTTCCGTGGCACCAGTGCTGCAGAAACAGCTCGAAGGATTAATGATGTATGCGGCGCTGTTGTCGCAAGAGAAAGCACGGTAGGTTTTTGGTTTCAACGTTTTCGTTTTGAAAATTTCGATCTTCAGAACCAACCCCGTAGACGGCCGGAGACCAAAGTGGAAAATGAAGAATTAAAGGCTATTGTGGAAGCGGATCCATCACAAAGCACTTCAGAGATAGCTGTAGGCTTCGGGGTAAGTTATAAAACTGTATTAATCCACTTGAAGCAAATCGGGAAAGTAATAATTTAAAATTAAAAATTTTGTACAGCCGACTTCAATATCAGTTATTAAGAATAACTCAAAAACTGGTCTGACCTTGATCAAATTTATATGGGACCACACGAGAAGTACTAGCTTTCAAATAAAAAAGAATCATCGAAATCGGTTCAGCCAGTAATAAGTTAAGAGGTAACACACATAAAAAAACATACAGTCGAATTGAGTACCGTCTCCTTTTTGGAAGTCGGCAGAAACAACTTTACGATGGGTACCACATGAACTGAGTGAATCGAACATGCAGACACGCGTCGACTACTGTGTTACTTTGCTGAACCGACACAATAATGAAGGAATTTTCAATCGAATCATTACCTGTGGTGAAAAGTGGACACTGTACGATCGGAAGCGCTCGTCGCAATGGCTGAACCCTGGAGACCAAGCCAAATCCTGCCCTAAACGAAAATAGACTCAGAAAAAGGTACTTGTGAGTGTTTGGTAGACTAGCGCCGGTGTCGTTCACTACAGCTTTCTAAAATCTGGCCAAACGATTACGGCAGATATCTATTGTCAGCAACTGCAAACCATGAAGAAAGAACTAGCTGCTAAACAACCGATATTGGTCAAACGCTCTAGGCCACTGCTGCTTCACGACAACGCAAGACCACATACTGAACAACAAACAACCACTAAGTTAGCTGAGCTACAATTGGAATGTCTGCGACATCCACTGTACTCCCCGGACCTTGCTCTAACAGATTACGATTTTTCCGGAAGTTGGACAACTTCTTACGAGGAAAAAAATTCAACTCCGATGCGGCAGTCCAAACCGCCTTCAAAGAGTTTATTGAATCTCGCCCCCATGGTTGTTTTAGTAAAGGGATCAATGAACTACCTATGAGATGGCAAAAGTGCATAGATAACAGCGATGCATACTTTGGTTAATTAAATATTTTACAAAAAAAAAATTGATTATATTCCTCCCGTACAAAACGCCAATTTCATATGTAAGGACCTAATATTAACAGTTAACTATTCATTTTAGAATTAAATTTTAGACCGCTATTTTATTTTCCATTCTATTCAAGAGACTAAGACTTATATCATGTTGTTATGTTGCAATAATTAAATATTCAAAATTTTGTACAACCGATAGCTGCAGGCTTCGGGGTAAGTTATAAAACTGTATTAATCCACTTGAAGCAAATCGGGAAAGTAATAAGAAGTTATTAAGAATTTTTTTTAACAGTCATTAAGAATAACTCAAAAACTATTGGTCTGACCTTCATCAAATTTATATGGGACCACTCGAGAAATACTAGCTTTCAAATAAAAAAAGAATCATCGAAATCGGTTCACCCAGAAAAAAGTTATGAGGTAACACATAAAAAAAACATACAGTCGAATTGAGTACCTCCTCCTGTTTGAAGTCGGTGGAAAATAACAGTTTAATCATTATTCTTTCGGCCTTGACTGAGTTTTGGAATAAATAATTAACTTGTTTTGATTTTTTGTTGCCTTTAGCCAGATTGAATTTAACATGCGTAACGAATGGAGTTATTGGACGCCAATCTTTCTATCGCTGTTAGGTATTTTGTATATATGTATACTATATGTTTCAATATTTAGAATATATCGAAACGGTATGTTTTTATTTACATCAGACCAGCACATTTTTATTGTTGTTATTTACATCAGACGGCTCCGTGGCGCAGTGCCTTAGCAATGAGTTGCTGCGCTGGGGGGCGCGGGTTCGAATCCCGCACCGAACAAGTATTTGTATGGCCTACAAATAATTGTTCCGAGTCTAGATGTTTGTCCTTGTGCAATTTTTGTTTGTAAACTGCCTCCACGATACAGGAGAAAATCCTAGTGTGGGGGTAAAGTTTTTTAAAAAAAAAAACATAGGCCGCTACCAAGACACGCCGTTTAGCCTTGTCTTCGTCATCGCTCATGCAGTAACCGCGGAGATCGTCGCTTTATGTTGCCGAGGGATGCCCACATTACACTTGCCTAACCATTGTCTCCACTTCATGACATCGAGCGGTTGTCATTTCTGCAACAGATGTTAACATACCGACACCATGTCAAAGACCCCGGTTATTTGGTGGATTTCTTGTTACGAATCTGTAATTATTGTGATCTGAATGAAGTTCTGGCATAGCTCTTTCCACGTTTTAAGTTGTACAGACTAACAGGATGAACTGATTAAAGTCTAGTGTTCAGACTTTGTGGCTCATACAACCAGCTCCTGACGATGCTTCATGAGTTTCGTCTTTTAATACACATATTTTTACAAAAAGAGTCATTACTATCTGTATTACCTCTAGACATGATAAGCAATAGACTAAAGAAGTGATCAAGAACAAAAGCAAATTCATATATTATCTATTCATCTAAGTATTGTTTAAATCGTCAACCACTGAAGGAGAGGAAATCTGATTCTAAATAAGTCGTCCGTTACGCTATGTTTCATAATTATACTGGGTATGTCATAACGTAATAATATACCATTGGCTGGCTTCTTGCATCCAGTGCTTGGCTTATATTATACACCAAAATACTTTTCAAAAGTAAAATAAATTTTGATATTTTTCACGTTACACATGTTTAACGTTCTTTTTAATAAACTTATACAAGGTGGTGGGGTTATTTTTAGCCTCCAAAACCATGTAAGTACTTTAGTGAACATATATTTATGTGACACTAGCGATCCGACCCGGCTTCGCACGGATGATTTTTGGATCTCGATAACAGCGCTACTTACCGGACCTAATTGGTGAATCTAAACCAGTCTCGTATCAACTTAATCACGCACACAAAATTTCATTGAAATCGGTCCAGCCGTTTAGGAGTTCAGTTGCATACACACGGACAGAAGAATTATGTAAAATATAATATGCATGTATTATACATGTAAATCTTCCTCTTGAATCATTCTGTCTATTGATGAAAACCGCATAAAAATCCGTTGCGTAGTTTAAAAGATCTAACAGACGACGGGAAGCGACTTTGTTTTATACTATGTAGGAGATTAACTTTCCACTGACATCACTCAGGATAAAATAGTTTTTGCTTTTTCTTTTCATTCATTATAGCATATTAGAGTTCACTGCCGAACATTGGTCTCCCAATAGATCCTCTCACAGTCATCGATCACTAATAAAAACTAGATACACAATCCCATGAAAAAGTTCTCTAAAACTGTCGCCAATTGTTTTGACGTAATTCTAGTTGAAATAAATATAAATTAATGTTAATTCAACCTTAATGCATTGCCTAAAGTTGTATTCACAAAGCTATACAAATGAAAAGCGCACCCGAATATTCGAGTGGGCGCTCATTCGGTGAGGACATATTTTTGTCACTGATTGTGTGTCTTAGTTTTTTATTAGTGATCGATGCTCACAGTATACATTGTCTCACAATTGTTTGACAGGCAAGTTGGCAACCGCACTTTGTTTTTTGAGTTTCACTGCAGCCCATGAACACTTGCAACCAACAAGATGTCACTTCCGAAAACTACTAGATGGTATGCCTGCCAGCCCGTATTATATTGGCTCTCAATACGCTTCGGAGCGGAACACTGCAGTGCAAACACTTATTTGGCGGCAGAAATGAGTAAGATCGTGGTACCTACAGAGCTATGTTACTGTTTTCTCTCTAAATAGTAGGATTTTTTAAACTTATTATAAGCTAGTGCTTGACCACAAACCCACTTGGTGGTAAGTGGTGATGCAGCCCTAGATGGTAAATCGCACTGTCTTAGTGTAACAAAAACCTATTCACTCTTGCCTGGAAGACGCCCAGATTGTATTTGGACGGAAAAATATTTACCAGTAAATTATTCCACTCATTTCCTGTACGCATTACAAAAGATGAAGCAAACCGTTTGGTTCTAATGCGTGGAATATCAAGAACAAAGAGGTGAAGACCCGCCGACCGCCTGCTTGTCCGATGCTGGAAAGGAAAGGGAGGAATATATGAATAAATAATAGAATTACAGGTAAAATTATAAACATTTGTTTATTTTTGTTGTCAGGTATTCCAGCATACGGTCTCGATGGCGACAACATCCGGACGGGACTTAACAAGAACCTGGGTTTTAGCAAGGAGGATCGCGAGGAGAACATCCGGCGAGTGGCTGAAGTGGCAAAACTCTTTGCGGACAGTGGGGTTGTTTGTCTTTGCAGTTTTGTGTCTCCTTTTGCAGAGGTGAGGATTTTAAAGACTTGGGGAGGAACCCTAGTCGCTAGCGTTGACACGGAGTTTGATTTATTTACCTATACACCTTTTTATATCCATGTAGTACATATAAACACGCACACGCGCACACATACATGCACATGTACACGCGCACAGATACATGCACATGTACACGCGCACGAGTCTAAAACTGATTAAAAGGTATAATTTTTTTTTCGTATTCTTACATTGTCATCTGATTACGAGCTATATTCAAAATTTCACGTCTCTAGCTTATCGGGATGATAGTTTAAAATCAATTACAGGCATACACGCAAGCTAGTTAATAAAAACGTGGTAAAAACGACACTTCCATACAGAAGTATTTCTTAGATTGGAAGATAATTTTTTTTTTCATTAATATTACGACTAGGTTTGAAAGAGAAATTTTTCAAAAACAAATGACCGCATTTCTTAGACATGTAGGTGATAACCAACTTATCAAAATGTATGCAGTACAATGAACTTGTCACACAGTTTGCGTTCCGACTACAGATGACGAAGATATATATGACCCAGAAATACCTATGAACAACATAGCGTGCAAATTTGACCCTTATAATGTCCAATGTCCATTGATGAGTGTAACTTACCCATTCCCAGAATTTAAGAATGAAATAATTCCAGAAAGCTAAAGCCCAAACCATTATAAATATTTAATGAAACTAATTTTTACAGATTTTATCGTGTTTAATTTAGCTTTTTAATTCCCGACGTTTCGGGTGCTTTATAGCACCTGAAACGTCGTTTTATAGGGATTAATAAAATTCAATTCAAACCTAAGCGCACCACTGCAAAACTTCAAAGATACTGTAAGGTCATTCTGCGTAGATCGGACCTAAAATTAATATTCAAAAACCGAAGGAGGCCGGGCTAACTATGACATCTGCTATAAACGGCAATAAGACAAAGTGTATTAAATTTACAATACCTAATGTAAAACATTCGAAAAACAATGTGCTGTTAAATGGGGAGGAGTTGAGTCTTGTGGATAGCACTGTTTTTCTCAGTATTACTATTGACGCGAAACTTCAATGGGACCCCCATATATCTAAATTAGCAAGCAGACTTAGTTCTGCAGCATATGCTGTAAGAAAGATTAGAAGTTTCACAGATGTTGAGACAGCTAGATTAGTGTATTTTAGTTACTTTCATAGCGTAATATCTTATGGAATTTTGCTATGGGGTAATGCGACTGATATTGAAGCTATATTTGTTTTGCAAAAGAGAGCCGTTCGGGCGATTTATTCTCTACATTATAAAGAGTCCCTCAGACAAAAATTTAAAGAAATCAACATAACGTAACTTTGGCATCGCAATATATTTATGAAAATGTAATGTATGTACATAAAAACATAAATAGCTTTAATAAGAATAAGGATGTGCATACTTTAAACACTAGGAACAAACATAAGCTTGTAATACCAGTTACTAGACTCCACAGAATCAGTGATTCATTTATGGGGCAATGTATACTCTTTTACAACAAATTCCCAGAACATATTCAAAGTTTGTCAATAAACAAGTTTAAAAGTTTCATTAAAGAAAAACTGTACAAATAGGGTTATTATAATATCAAGGAATATATGTATGAAAATAACCCCTAGGAGTAAGGTGATCGCCACCATGCTGGTTCTATGAAAAATCATTTAAAAATTGTATAAAGGAAATTATTGTTTAGTGAAATATGTTTGAAAAAAAAGTCCCGCTGGGTTTCTTGCTGGTTCTTCCCAGGACAGAGGTATTTTCCGAACCAGTGGTAAATAAAAAATGACTTTCAATAAGAATTATGTAATAATCAATATTAAAAAATTATTCTATTCTATCGGGATGTCAAACACCTCAGCCCCCCCCCCCCCCCCTCCCCCGTGACCAAGGTGTTTTTTTAATTCCCGACGTTGGGAACGTCGGGAATTAAAAAGTTAAATTAAACGGGATGAAATCCGTAAAAATTAGTTTCATTTAATGTCTTGTCTATGCGTAAATATAAGAAATCATTATTAAAATATTATTAAATTTTGAGCATATTTAATTAATTAAATTGTGAACATATCTAGTATTAGCTCTAGAAAATAAAATATGTAATTACTTGGTTCTGTGTAAACTGTAAAAATTAAAAACAAAATATTTTTAGTGGTATAAGACGATTTACAATATGTTCTCTTTTTTGGTCAAAATATGTATTTTATGATAACCTTTATTTAACGTGGTGTAATGATTTTTGTTTGTCCTGTACTGATTGCTGGTTTCTGTAATAAATAAAAATATAACCAATTTCAATCAAATCTAAGTTAAGAGAGCGTCCAGCAACTTCTATCCCTTTACTAATTTATATAAATGTTTAATATTTTTTTATGCAACGATAAGCACCTATCGCTCAGTTTTAATAGCCGCGTTAATAGTAACTACACACGTCGAAATTGCCAATTACATCTCATTAGCGAATACAAAATTTAGTTGCGTTTATTATGTTGTGAGGTAAATTATTCTAGACGAGGGCAGATCGTTGTTATCCATTCATCCATATTAAAGTCCACAGTAAAAATAGGCTTCTCCATAGATTGTCTCATAAGGGGAACATTTGCTAAAGTCGCCACGCTTGGCGGGCGGGCTGGCACTGTTTTTATTATTTTGAGTTGTAATTAGGAAGATGGCTCTGTCCATCTCCTGTTTGATATCTCTCTGTCGATTCTTACGACTCCTACAGGATGATATGGGGTAGTGGATTCACTTCGTCACCACTACACGGTGAGAGTCTTTATTTCATCTGTGACGGCACTGTCGTCGCGCCACAAGCGAAACACATCAAAGCCTAAATCACGCTATCAAAGTTCCGAAGTACTGCGCTATATATAGAATGGCTCTGTACAAACACGGAGCGTTAGCCGCTCCCTGGGCTGAAGTTTCCTTGCCCTGCGGGAGATCTCATTTCCTCCCACGGCCAAACATAATTATTTTTTCGTAAGTGTCGTAATCGATTAAGGGGAATGTCGTAAAAATCTTAAGATTATATGAAATGTAATTAGTATTTTAATTTCTCGATAATAATAACAAAAATACCAAACGACGGTCGGAAGAATGGGAGAATTATTTCGCCGGTCCGTCTACGATATTGGGATCACTTAACCGCCATCAAATGACCAAAAGAACATACAATATAAACATGTTTTTCTCTCTAGGACCGTGAAATAGCTCGTCGCATTCATACAGACTCGCAACTACCCTTCTTTGAAGTTTTCATCGACACTCCGCTGGAAGTCTGTGAACAGAGAGACACGAAAGGCCTGTACAAGAAGGCCAGAGAAGGGCAAATAAAGGTAATTTATTACAAGGTTATTGCTTTAATGAAACTTTTCTAAAACTAATTGAGTTATAATAAATGTAATTGGATAATAATTAAAAAAGTAATTTAAAGCCGGAACCAACCTTCAAACACATAATAAGTTCATGGTTTTGTATTTCGAATGTGGTAGAATTTTTGTCTTTTGTCGAATGTGCTCCTATGGGAGTTTCTTCATTGCAGTCTGGGGCTATAACTAATATCTCATTTGACTGTCTTAGTTCCTGTTCTCCTATTTGAGCATGCACTTAGTGTGATCAGTAATACAGGATTATTCTCTGTAACTTTTTTAGAATTTTGGTCACGACGGCCAGTCTCAACGAAGATTAGCCCCTGCGCAGGGCAGAATTATAGTGTGTATATGTATATATATAATTATATTGCGCGTGCGTGCGTGGACGTGTGCGTGCGTGCGTGTGTGCGTGCGTGCGTGCGTGCGTGCGTGCTTGCGTGCGCAGCATTAATCTGCTATGCTATCCTATGCTGTTATTCTGTGAGAGACTGGCCCTTAGGTCAAACTGACCCATTTGTGCAATGTGGCTATTCTATGTAAAATATATCCGTTAGTAATGTTCATTATTTTTATAGCACGTGTATTATTTGCACTGTTACAAGACACATTTTTTTTAATATACTTTAATCAAGTCCCCGTTATTAATGACTATTGCTTGATGTATTGTTTTAACGAATTCTTTTACATTTTATAGCAGTACTTTAGAACCAGTTATCAAGTTATCGCGATTACGTAAGGAAATGATTAAGGGAATCTTTTTTAATGTTACTAAGTTAGCCCTAAAGCTTAGGAGGAAATCGGTTGGACATGTCTGTCGCATGTTTTTTTTTTAAATATTTGCTTTGACTAAATGGTAATCTCGAGTCGAAGTCGGTACATTATATAAAACTAGTCGTATAAGTAACTGCTCGAAGTGTCTAAATATCGCCCGCGTGGAAACAGAAATGCCTTCACGTTCATTTTCCGGCAATAACTTTTATGTTTCTGTGGTGTCCGATGTGAACCAGGGCATTGTCTATATTATATATCTCATATGCGTGCCAAAATTTATCCAGCTCTATTTATCCGTTTATGTGTGATCGAGTAACAAAAATATATAACATAATATAATGTCAGTATGGTAAGTATAGTATGGAAGTATAAGTGTTAAGCTGTTCTCCGTCTTCTAAGAACCGAATTCCGTACATCCCTCCTCGTACGGCGGCTAGATGTAGTCTGTACCCTGTGTTGGGGTACAAACACCGTACCTCATACCTGACGTTCAGGCTTCCAGGCTAACAGTGTGAACATCATCGAAAACCGACGTATGAAAGTATGAATGTCGAAATAAAATTAAATAATGCACTACTATCGACGATTTTGTTTTGGTTTTACACAGAAAACATTTTGTAATATGGAAAAATAAAAAACAAAGTATTACTAAAATAATTTATTATTAACAATATGAACTAAATCAATTAAAGTAGGATAAAATCTTTGTTGATAAGATTTAGCTTATCTACAAAATCTTATCTTTATAATATAGGGCTTATTTAAATTATATAATACAAACGCGTAATCTACGTATACATAAATAAGCATTAAAGGAACGCACGCATCGGAAAGTCAAACGCACTTTTATATATCGTTTTTTCAATTCCGAAAACTGATTACAGATTTTTTTTAATAAATTGCCAAGTGCAATTTAATTTAACCACAGTTCTTGGTGAACATTGTGATTGTATGAGATAAACATCGTATTAGTCTTAAGTAACATTTTGTATAGATAATTCGTTACGTTCCATGTTAATAATGACCAGAATTGAGAGCATGCTATCAATGTTAAAAAGCGAGCAAACGCGTGTACTTTATTTGTCTTTCTTATATATTTTTAATAAGTTAAGTATCACTTGAAAACATCATAAGTTGATTTTTTTATAGAATAAGTGTGACAAACGAGCACACAGTCTACCTGATGGTAAGTGGTTGCTGCGATCCATAGACATCTACATTTATCATCGATTACGAATCAAAATGCAGATGCGTCGTCACACATGAGGACTAAGATGGAATGTTTTGTTTCCAGTAAAAAGGGTCTCCAGTTCTCTACACTCACCATACGTAACACAGCAGCCTTAAGCTGTTATTTCACTCGGGTATTCTGTCTCGTCAGATATAACTCAAAACTTGAAAACGAGACTGTACAACCAGTGCGTGTTGCCAGTGATGACCTATGGAACTGAGACGTGGTCTTTTACTGCCGGCCGGATGAGGAAGTTCAAGGTCGCTCAGCGAGCTATGGAGAGGGCTGTGCTCGGAGTTTCTCTGCGTGATAAACTTAGAAAGGAGAATATCCGCAGTAGAACCAGAGTGACCGACATAGCCCAACGGATTATTAGCTGAAGTAGCAATGGGTCGGCCATATAGCTCGAAGAACCGACAACCGATGAGGAAAAAAAGGTTCTCGAGTGGCGGCCTCGTACCGGCGGACGTAGTGTAGGGCGTCCCCCTACTAGATTGAGTGACGACCTGGTAAGATATGCAGGAAGTCGATGGATGCAAGTGGCTCAGGACCGTGCTTTGTGGCATTCCTTGGGGGAGGCCATGTTCAGCAGTGGACTTGTGAAGGGCTGTAATGATGATGATAACGATGATTCTGTGAGAGCGTGGTCCTATCTCGGTCGAGCCGACCCATTCGTGCTAATATAGCTGCAGCTTGGCTCTGCCACGTAAAAACATATTAGTAGTATTAGTAATGATTGAGTGTGACTTACTTTTTACCTATAGCTATGTTATGCTTGACTACTACCCAACCTGATGGTAAGTGGATATATTCTTGAAGAAGGAATGAAATTACATATGACGCAGCATTCTATCAATTATCTTCTTAAAAAGAGTGAAGCTTTAGCAGTCAGAATACCTGACTAACTGTCGACTGGTTCTAGAAATTCCTAACTGGAGTCTTTATCTACGCAATAGCAAATAATTGGTTTTTATAGCCTGTTCTGTTCGAGCATCTTGTGGTATCATTAAGCTCTTTGTTTATTTTGATTACATCTTCTGTTTTATCTAAAAATAAAAAATAATAATAAATAAAATAATGTAAGATTAAAATATGTGTAGTAATTTTTCTAATATTTATTTCGGTTCTGTCGTTTTAGTTAAATTGATTCTTGGAACGAAGTTCCTCATCGCATGGTACGAATTTGACGGATGGGGGCTAGGCGAGAAAAAGTGTAAAATTTTTCCGTCACGACGCCCTTTCTATAGTGCGAGCGAGATGAAATAATATCTATCTCTCTCGCACTTTTCCTTATTTTGCCACGAAAGAAATATTAATTTAAATGACGCTGCATTTTAATAGACCCTAGTAATTCATTTATTTGTATTAATTTGTTAATCAATAATATAATACGTTTATCGATAATAATTTACTACGAAATGAACTTCGTTCCAACCGAGTGTTCCACGACACACACGCATGTTTTTTATCTTCATTTTGAATCCACAATACTAACACACGTTCGTTAAAATGCGGTGTTCGAGTTCTCAGCTATCAAGAAACTAATTCAAAATATTTTAAAGAAGACTCAAAATATATATTAATTAAGTTTACTGTCATTTGGTTAAGTGGCAAATGAATGTAGCTCGATATGTAAGACGAGCTAGATAGTTATGAAATGATTCACTAAAAACTTATTTGTATAATATATTACGTTGTATAGCTACGGTATATTGGCCCAGTTAGTGAAGTTAATTTCTAAAAAAAAAAATTAATGAATCAATTAGCAGTAAAAAATAAAGTTATAGCCTATATTCACATCACACTCCTGGGCACAGGCCTCTCATTTCTGAGAGGTTTTTGGGGCAACGAAATTTCCGCCGCGCTGCCACAATGCGCGTTGACGGACTTCACATGTATTCGAAATATTTTTTATTTTTATTTTAGACAAGCAGGATTTTTCACGTTGTTTTTCTTTACCGCCGAACACATGGTAAATCTGCACTTAAAATTGCAATAAACATTTTTATTGGAATGGAAACCGGGTTGCCCTTCTACTGTGAAATGATAACTTGTAAATTAATCAATTAATTTTACTGTTATTGTGACAGGGGTTCACCGGCATAACTCAAGATTATGAGCGACCTGAAGCGCCCGAGTTAGTAATTCAAACAGTGGGCCAGACTATCGAAGAATCAACTATGGAGGTGATTCGGTTACTCGAATCTCAGGTAAACATTATCTGGTTTTTTTTCTTTAATAGTTAAACTAAAAGCAAATCTTTCCGTAGGAGAAATCTTTTTGTCTAAGAGTGTACAATTTGGGTCCATGCTCTATTTTGTCAAAAAGCAGCAGAAAAACCCATGTTACGTTCCAGTTTTAGGAGTACATTTATAAACTTATATATGTTTGAATTTGGTGACATGTATTCGTTATAGGCTCCAATAGCCACTTATAATCAAGTTGTTGACTCGCTTGTTAGTGACATAGATCACAAAGACACGCCGCTTTGTAGTAGCGGCGTGTCGTAAGAGGCGACAAAGGCAAAGTGAAACAGGAGATTGGCAACAGCATCTTCCTGATATCAACTCGAAATATTAATAAAACTGCGGTTGCTAATACGACTGCCAATCGTGGCAACTATGGCGATGGGAGAGGGCCTATGTTCAGTAGTGGACTTTGGTAGGCTGTAATCATGATGACTAATAAAATGATTCGTGTACAATTTATAAAAAAGACGTATAAAATTAATACAATCAATTCTTTCCAGGGCATTATCCCAATTTTCAGTTCTCAAACCAATAACCAGGGCGTTGAAGAGCTTTTTATCTACGGAAATAGACTAACCAGTGCAATGGAAGAGGCTGCCACTTTGCCGGAGATAGAGCTCACAGACCTCGATCTACAGTGGGTTCAGGTAGGATAAGTTTAAAATATATATGTTTGCGATGTACGAATAGCTGACGAGATAAAGCTTATAACTTTACTTTTTGCATAATTTATAGGTAGGGTATACACATTACTACAATACATAAGCCGCACGCAGAATATATGCACTTCCTCCGACCGCAACTAGCGCTTGTCTGTCGATGCCGCTAGCAACACAGAGACGCGTGATGTCATGACGTTGTCGGCAAACCTATGTTACACACCTTTGATGTTGTTATTGGTAATAACATTAAAGGTGTGGAACATCTGGCTTACGCCAGATACTGTCTATCGGAGGCCATGAGATTTTTCTGGTATTTCTCATAGTCTTAAGACACTTACGTTGGATTATCTTGAGTCGCAATCATACGGAAAGTTGCAGAGTAGCCAAATTTTAAATAATGAAATACCGTTATTGCAGTTTTTGAACATACGAGTAAATGAGGCTTCTACTTTTATTTGAAATGATCCCAAATTGAATGTGATTAATGTGTAACAACTACGCGTGCGCGCGCTCCTCTGTGTGTAAAACCTTTTGATTCAAATCGCAAGGTTTTTGCCGACCGATCGACCTCTACGAATGTGTGCGTGTATAGTATAATAGATATTTATGAATGACAATCAGTTCAAATTACCATTTTGAATTTAAAAGATAAACAAAATGTTTGAGGTTTTTTTCTAATTAATTTTTCTTCACCATTTGCCTATATTACTTATTTTGCTTACTCTGCAAAATTTGGCCGGTTATTGCAAAATAACCCTGTATACATTTAATCAATAATAAATAATATGTTTATTAAATGTAGAATGTATTTAATAGTTTATTTTCATAAAGAAGTAATTTTTTATTTTTTATTCTTTATGACTTTATAGTATTTTTTTTAATCTTTGATGTATTTCGATATCAGGTTCTTTCCGAGGGCTGGGCGTATCCACTCAAAGGATTCATGCGAGAAACTGAATATTTACAAGTAAGTGAAATTATTAAAACTTAAGATTCTGATTAATATCAAAATTGTCAATTAAATAAAATAACAATTGGAATCATCCATGACAATTTGAGAAATGTTACAGAGAATGTTATAAAAATTGTTATCATCTATGTAATGCCAGCACTGTATGTCAAACGTGTCAATCTAGGTCAATAAACTTTTGATAAAATGAAGATTTGACGCTAACACTTTGGTTAGTAAAACATGCTTTAGAAGAGAAAGGAGAACGTTAGAAATAAGAAAGTATTAGTATAATTTATGCACTACGTTTATAATAACGTAGTTCGATACATTTTTAGTGAACCAGTGCTTTGGTACCGGTTTTTTCTTTAAACATATATTTTATTATTTAAAATTATGTAATATGTTTAGCTTGTAATTCTTTTCTTCATTTATGTAGTAGGCCCCGGTCCCCGTGTAATGTTTGAAAGGTGTCAATGAGTAGAGAGGCGTGTTACTCTGTTTAAGACTTTAATTATGCTGTACCTCTTTATTATAATCTTGCCTCTGATTCTCGTTATTATATTATAAGGTCGGTGAAAAAGTTTCTCCATATTTTATATATAAATCCAAGACATATTTTTCCATAGTTTATTTAATTTAATTATAATTATGTGCCATTTTGTTCGGTAACTTGTTGCCATCTTGTAGGTAGTGACATAATCCCGTTGCTTTAGAAATCTTGGGATTTTTTATCAAAAAAATGCGACAAGTAGTTTTGACAGTCCTCTCTTGATGTTAATCTAACACTACCCAAATAATTCTGAAGAAAGCGAAACAGGTGAAAATTTGAGGGTGCAAGGTCAGAACTATATGGTGGATGCATTAACACTTCCCAACCAAGCTCTCTCAACTTTTGCTGAGTGGCCGAAAATGTGTGTGGTCTGGCTGTTTATCAATTTATCAAAATACAAAAACCTTTTCTGATTATCGATTCCGGCCGTTTTTCTTTACAATTTCTTGCTTGTCTCATTAGTTGTCGCAGAGTAGAGATCCGAATCGATGGTTTTACCCGGCGGTAAAAGTTTATAATAAACGATGCCCTTCCAATCCCACCATACACACATCATCACCTTATTGTGTTTTAATTCGGGTTTTGCTACAGTCTGTCGAGCTTGACTAGGTACCCTTTGACCATAATATTTTTCGCACGTTCGTGTCGTAGGTGATCCAAAGTTCATTACCAGTGATCAATCTTTTCAAAATTGTTCGGTTTCATTACGTTTCAATAGATAATCGCAAATGAGTACACGATTCATTAGGTTTCTTTCAGTGCGCTCGTGTGGTATCCAAATATCGAGCTTTTTGTATAGCCAGACTTTTTCAAATGGGTTAAAACTGTTTTGTGGTCAATCAACAATTCCTCGACTATGTCGTAACTACTAATATGCCCATCTTGCTCCACTTTTTGAGCTTTACGAGCGGCTTCTTTGACATCAAAATTCCAACTTTGTGCTACTCCTACTGACACTGCATTAGGTCCATAAACGTCACAAACTTTTTTTGCGGCTTGAGTCGCATTTTTCCCTTTTTTTTTGAACTTGAGAATGTATCGAATTTTTTCGTTAAATTCATTCATTTTGGTGTACAGAAAAACAATTGAAAAATGGCGGGAAAGTGTTTATTTTCGTTTTGTTTTTCATATTGTTAATGGCCTATATGTATTGATATTTAAACCAGCCATATATAAACAGTACTTGTTTCTGATAATCTAACAAAATTTTTACATTATACAGTTATTACTTTTTCTAAAGTGTTATATATGACCGGATAGGTAATTTAATTATCTAATAGATTTTTACAATACTTTCTCAAGAAGTAAGTTTTGGAAAGTTATTTACAAAAATTCTACATTTTTACCATTTTTGGGAATATCGGCTTTTCTTAATTATATGTAGGAAATTAATTGCACAACGCGAAATTGCCTTTTGTTTTCTGAAAGTATTAATCTAATTAAATACGATGTTTACAAATCTTTTAAAACATAAAAATTATTTTAGCAAATTTCGGGTCTTACGCTAAACAACAACCGATTGCTCTACTGCATACTGCGCTTAGATGAAATAGCAAAAGAAACCTCTTTCTTCACCTGTAGGGTTTCTTTTGCTGCTTTCTTCCTCGATTCTTCGAGAAATCGACCCTTGTTTTAGAAGAGATCTTATTAAATAAAATTAATTTTACGGATTTAATTGCGATTAATTATAATTAATCTTTAATTCATGATGTTTCTATTGTTGTTCGCTACCTGTGGTGAACCCGTCAAATCCGTAAAAAAAAAAAACAAAGTTTTATTCCTACTAAAATAAATATTTCATGCAATTTAATGTATCAATAAACAAAACGTGCTACGGTTGCCATCTTATATCCTGGCACTGTTATTTTTAATTATAAATTAATTAAATATATTTTTAAATAACTGCATAATAGTAACTACAAAAATATTAATTAAAAATAGCCGCGCCTGAATATAAGGTGACAACCCTAGCACGTTTTGTTTATTGATATACATTACATAAACACTCACACCTGTCACCCAGAGGGGTAAGCAGAGACTACGGACTTCGATTTGGCACGATCCTGACACACCTCTCTCGCCTCCTTTACATCCATATATATACGCATACATGCTCGTCGGTTAAGGGTACTCCTAATCTGGCCTATTTTCATTATAGTAGTATATACTTTATTGTACACCACACATATACAACGAATAAATACATTACAGAGAAAACTTAATATATACGTATGTACAATTAGGCGGTCTTATCGCTAAAGAGCGATCTCTTCCAGACAACCTTTGGGCTAAAGAGAAACTGGAATTAAGAACAGTAGGAGGTGGTGCGCTTTATGTTACACTTACATACTAATATCTAAATAAACTAAACTATATTTTGTTAAAATACCACAATAATACATAAAAAATAATAATAAAATAAACATACATATTAATAAATAGGTATATATATATATACAACCAATATATATATATATATATTACCAATTTGGTCGATAAACTTTCGTCTAGGGCGTCCCTTCCCGACTCTGCCGTTTAGTTCTGTAACATAAATTTGCTTTGTCACTCTTTCCTCGTTCATTTATTCTACATGACCAAACCTTTCTTAATCCTGGTCACAACGTCATCTTGCAAACCACACTTATCCTTTATCACATTATTATTTAGTATAGTTGTAGCACGAATGGGTCGGCTCGACCGGGGAAGGACCACGCTCTCACAGAATACCAGCGTAAAGTAGCAGCTTGCTGCTGTGTTTCGTATGGTGAGTGTAGAGAACCGGAGACCCAATTTACTGGAAAGGAGGCATTCCATCTTAGTCCTCACGGGTGACGACGCATCTGCATTTTGATTCTTTATTGAGGATAAATGTAGATGTCTATGGGCCGCAGCAACCACTTACCATCAGGTGGACTATGTGCTCGTTTGTCACCCTATCCTGTAAAAAAAAATTGATGAAGGATGGTTAATGTAAGTTGAGATCTTAGACTATTAGTACAATCTTAGATATTGTCATAACAGTAATTAAAAAACTCGACTGGGTTAAAAAAACTAAAAAGAAAAAAACCGTATGACGATATCCCATATTATAATATAATATATTATAATATGTATACGTATTATGTAAAAATCTATCAAGCCGTTTAGGCTATAGAGGTACCAAAAAATAGACATACATACACTTATCCTTCTTCTGGGGCTGTCGGATAAACAGTAAATTAAATGAAATCGAAAAGATGGGAGCTATTTGTAAGTCGGTTAAATGACGATGTGAGTACTGAGTGCGCTATACGTTGTGCAGGCGCTGCACTCGAACTGCATGACGACTGCGGACGGGCGGCTGGTGAACCAATCGGTGCCGGTGGTGCTGGCGGTGAGCAACGCCGATAAGGAGCGGCTGGCGGGCGCAAGCGCGCTGGCGCTGCGCCACTCGGGCCGCTGCGTCGCCGTGCTGCGCGCGCCCGAGTTCTACCCGCACAGGAAGCCCGAGCGCTGCGCACGCCAGTTCGGCATCTACCACACCGGACACCCCTACATCAAGGTACGTACACACGCGCGCCCGAGTTCTACCCGCACAGGAAGCCCGAGCGCTGCGCACGCCAGTTCGGCATCTACCACACCGGACACCCCTACATCAAGGTACGTACACACGCGGCCCGAGTTCTACCCGCACAGGAAGCCCGAGCGCTGCGCACGCCAGTTCGGCATCTACCACACCGGACACCCCTACATCAAGGTACGTACACACGCGCGCCCGAGTTCTACCCGCACAGGAAGCCCGAGCGCTGCGCACGCCAGTTCGGCATCTACCACACCGGACACCCCTACATCAAGGTACGTACACACGCGGCCCGAGTTCTACCCGCACAGGAAGCCCGAGCGCTGCGCACGCCAGTTCGGCATCTACCACACCGGACACCCCTACATCAAGGTACGTACACACGCGGCCCGAGTTCTACCCGCACAGGAAGCCCGAGCGCTGCGCACGCCAGTTCGGCATCTACCACACCGGACACCCCTACATCAAGGTACGTACACACGCGGCCCGAGTTCTACCCGCACAGGAAGCCCGAGCGCTGCGCACGCCAGTTCGGCATCTACCACACCGGACACCCCTACATCAAGGTACGTACACACGCGGCCCGAGTTCTACCCGCACAGGAAGCCCGAGCGCTGCGCACGCCAGTTCGGCATCTACCACACCGGACACCCCTACATCAAGGTACGTACACACGCGGCCCGAGTTCTACCCGCACAGGAAGCCCGAGCGCTGCGCACGCCAGTTCGGCATCTACCACACCGGACACCCCTACATCAAGGTACGTACACACGCGGCCCGAGTTCTACCCGCACAGGAAGCCCGAGCGCTGCGCACGCCAGTTCGGCATCTACCACACCGGACACCCCTACATCAAGGTACGTACACACGCGGCCCGAGTTCTACCCGCACAGGAAGCCCGAGCGCTGCGCACGCCAGTTCGGCATCTACCACACCGGACACCCCTACATCAAGGTACGTACACACGCGGCCCGAGTTCTACCCGCACAGGAAGCCCGAGCGCTGCGCACGCCAGTTCGGCATCTACCACACCGGACACCCCTACATCAAGGTACGTACACACGCGGCCCGAGTTCTACCCGCACAGGAAGCCCGAGCGCTGCGCACGCCAGTTCGGCATCTACCACACCGGACACCCCTACATCAAGGTACGTACACACGCGGCCCGAGTTCTACCCGCACAGGAAGCCCGAGCGCTGCGCACGCCAGTTCGGCATCTACCACACCGGACACCCCTACATCAAGGTACGTACACACGCGGCCCGAGTTCTACCCGCACAGGAAGCCCGAGCGCTGCGCACGCCAGTTCGGCATCTACCACACCGGACACCCCTACATCAAGGTACGTACACACGCGGCCCGAGTTCTACCCGCACAGGAAGCCCGAGCGCTGCGCACGCCAGTTCGGCATCTACCACACCGGACACCCCTACATTACAGTAAATACACGCCAAAATAATACATTGAAATTATAATGTCTTTCAGATCGATTTTCGTTCACGGCGGCCACTCACAAAGAGAGACTAGTCATTTGCGGATTTGCTAGGAATATAGTGCTCGAATGTATACGCAAACACAGGTGCACTTTCTATCACCTAATTCTCATAGTCCGGTAATCCGACACGATCGGTGAGATATCAGATGAAACACCACCAACTTCCTGACAGCTATTGTGAATTGCTTGACAAAAAAACCCAATAACTGATTTTTGGCTCGACCCGGGATTTGAACCCTGGACCTGGTCAGCACTCGCGTTCACGACCACTAGACCAACGAGGCAGTCAATCAAAGTAATTAATTAAATCAAGTGTTAATAAACAAACAATTTAATATAGTTAAGAAGTCAACCTTAGTGTAGTGGTGTGTAATTGTGGCATGCAATTAAAGGTGTCGACGTAATAATACCCACTATTTAAAAACATGGAATCATAGGCATGGCATTTACAACAGTCGATGTTTTTTTATGTTCTAAAGCGGTGAATAATTTTCCAGATGATCGAGGAATCGGGTGACTGGCTGGTGGGTGGCAACTTGGAAGTGTTCGAACGCATCCGTTGGAACGATGGATTGGACTCTTACCGTCTCACACCAAACGAATTGCGACAGAAGTTCCAAGAAATTGGCGCCGACGCCGTCTTTGCTTTCCAAGTGAGTGCGAATTTGATCAAACAAACTGAATGTATTATGGCTTAAAATTTACTTCCTTTTATGTTTTTTTTTTTTTACTTAATTATAAAACATGCTTTGCTTGGCAGTGAAAGAAAATATTGCGAGGAATCTTGCATGTCAATATACATAAAAAAAAAAATTGTTTGGATATGTGAGGTTTGTCAACTCATGTTGGGACCGCAGAGTATATTACTCAGACCCGCAAGACCTTAGTACTAAGGGTAGCCCTTGTATCCTACTGTGGATACCTTACATGCAGACTTGACACTTTAATTGTTTACTTTACATAAACGAAGTATATTTAAAATGGTGCTTTGATTCTTCATCAGTCCATAAGCAACGCATAGCTGGACGTGAGTCTCATATTTTATGTCTTAATACAGGGCTATATTTCAAAAAGTAGCAAAATTTTAAACTTAAGTTCAAATATATAAATAATCATCATCATCATTCATAATTATAGCCTTTCATAAGTCCACTGCTGAACATAGGTTTTGGGAGCCCAAGGAATGCCACGAAGCACGGCCCTGAGCCACCTGCATCCATCGACTTCCTGCATGTCTTACCAGGTCGTCACTCCATCTAGTGGTGGGTCGCCCTACACTTCGCCTACCGGTACGAGGCTGCCACTCGAGAACCATTCTTCCCCATCGGTTGTCGGTTCTTCGAGCTATTTATGGCCGGCCCATTGCCACTTCAGCATAATAATCCGTTGGGCTATGTCGGTTACTATGGTTCTAGTGCGCATATCCTCATTTCTAGGATTATCACGCAGAGAAACTCCGACCATAGCCCTCTCCATAGCTCGCTGAGCGACCTTGAGCGTCCTTGAGCGTCCTCATACGGCTTCCAGAGAAGGACCACGTCTCAGATCCATAAGTCATCACTGGCAACACGCACGGTTGCACAATCTTGTTTTCAGGTTTTGAGGTATACCTGACGAGAAGATGTGTCGTAGTTTCCCGAACGCTACCCAGCCGAGTTGAATCCGTCGATTGACTTCTCGGTCGGAGTTGGACTTACCTAGTCGGACTATTTGTCCCAGGTAAACATACTCGTCAACAACTTTGAGCTTAGTGCTCCCAACAACTACCGGCATAGGTGTGATATGGACATTAAACATGATCTTTGGTTTGTCCATGTTCATCTTAAGACCTATCTGTCGGGAAACACTATTGAAGTCATTGAGCATAGTGCTTAGGTCCTCCAGCGACTCTGCCATAAGGACTATATCGTCGGAAAATCGATGGTTAGTGATGTGCTCGTCGTTGATGTTAATACCGTATCCTTTCCAGTCCAGAAGTTTGAAAACGTCTTCCAATGCAGCGATGAAGAGTTTCGGGTATATAACGGACATCCTGTCTTACACTTCTCTGCAGTTGGATAGGTTTCGTACTCTGGTTCTGTACTCGGATAGCCATCGTAGCCCTACTGTACAAACGCTTCAGCACTTCGATATACCGACAGTCAACTTAGCACCGCTGAAGGGCCCAAATTTCGCAAAATTAAGCACCGCCCAAATTTCAGACTATGAGAAAGCCTTTAATTCCCGACGGAATCAAAGGCTTTCTCATAGTCCACATACGCTAGACATAGTGGCAAATAATATAGTACTCCTCCGACTTCTTTATAATTTGCCGAAGGGTATGTATGTGGTCTATGGTGCTAAAGCCAAAAGAAAAGTTGTTCGGGAGGCTGGAAGTTGTCGAATTTGCTTGCGAGACGATTCCTAATGACTCTCGGAAACAGCACGTAGACGTGGCTCAGAAGGGAAATCGGTCTATAGCTCTTCAAGACAGCGTTGTCGTCTTTCTTGAAGAACAAGACCACCGAACTTCTGCTCCATGCCTCCAGTGTAGTGCCAGCACAGAGGACGGAATTAAAAAGCTTCTGAAGGAATTCAAGTACCGTTTTTGGTTTGCCTCTAACCATTCGGTGATCACTACCAGTTTTCACCCTCGTGATCAATGAGGCATCACTGAACAGTTGTCGTCTGGTCGTCATAATGAAGTCAATCTCATTTTTTGTCGAACCGTCGGGACTCAACCAGGTCCACTTCCTGTGTGGCCGCGTCTGGCAGAAAAAGTTCATCATAAAGAGTTCTTCTTTCTCCATGAAGTCGGCCAGCTGGTGGCCGACTTGTAGACGATAAATCCGACGGACAGATAGTCGCCCTCCCGGTGATAGAACAAGTTGCCGGATTCGAGGATTACCATGTCCCCACCCCACTCTCTTCTGACCTCAGACCATGTCCTACCCCTCGCTTCGGACCTCAGATAAGTCTATAATATTCCAGCGCAACTTGCCTATCTCTTCTTCCAGCTTCAGGATCTTCTCGTCAGTCCTCAGGGTGCGTGCGTTATATGTTGCCAGGTCAAGTCGTCTTAGGTGGCAACGGAACCTCCACCGGAGATTTTTAGCACCCCCTGCCCCGCCGTTACCATAGTCGCCACCGTAGCCAGGAGTAGCGGGGCCGCCGGGGACTGGGAGCCGTCGCTTCGTAACTTTCATTTCATGGGGGGATATTTGCCATAGTTGCCACGCTTGGCGAGCGAGTTGGCAACCGTAGTTTGTTTAGTTTTTTAGTTTCTCTCTGTCGCCTCTTACGACACCCACGGGAAGATATGGGGTAGTGGGTGTTCTTACCCGCCACTACACGGGAATAAAATATTTATAACTAGTAATTATAAAAAGTAAGAAGAAAGATTTAATGCTAGCTATAATAAAGCGGGCTTGACATAATGCAAATTGAAGCAAACTTTATTCCATTAGCAGCATCTTTTCATCGTTTGTAGCGGTAAAACAAAGTTGCCAGACCGCCATATAAATAGTTTCCGTAAACATCGTATATATTTTAATAATTTTTGACAGCTTCGCAACCCGATTCACAACGGACACGCTCTACTGATGCAAGACACGCAACGTCAGCTCATCGAGAGGGGATTTAAGAAACCTGTACTCCTGTTACACCCGCTTGGTAATTTATTCACTTTGTGTCTTCGTTTAAGTTGGTTTATTAAAACACTTTGGTCAATGATTATAATTGAAAGCGAGTTTAGAGTTCTGCTATCATACAACGAACCCTTGCAATTTAGTTCTGTCCCTCTGTGTTACAGACGGTTTTATATAATTGAGTAAAAAGTTAGAATTAGAAAAATTCTTTCGGTGTAGATATTTATTATAATAAGAATATCTTCCTTGATAGGTCGCGTTCGAGACAGTTCCAACAGCCTACTGATTTCCATATAATATGGAAGATAAGATTGCCCTGTGGTAAGGCACTGGAACACAGCGCGTATGGGTTCCAGGCTTAGTATGTTTAATAATAAATAAATAATTTTTTTAAACTCTTAGTGGGCCTCTGCCTCGAATTTTGCGGGCAGCGGGGCGGCGGCGGCGGCGACGCGGGAGCGGGGCGGGCAACGCAGACCCTTTCTCGAAACCAGCGGGCAGATCGCTCGAAACTATAGCGGTGTAGTGATGTGTTTATGGTTGTGTTGTCGAGATATTTGTTTTTATTCGCGAACGAAATGTCTGAACAACGGCGACAACATCTTTTTGATTTAAATTAATTCCTAACGCTCGATTTACTGTGGGCAAAAGAAGAAATGAATCCCCACTATAGGGCAAGGAAAACACCATTTTTTCCTTGACCTATAGTAGCGAGTTTTATCGAAATTACGATATCGAAATACGATGATTAGTTATTTCTACAATCACAGATTTGTTATTATTTGACAGTATTTTTTATTATAAGATTGATATAACTAGTGTTGAGTATTATACCCTTATACTACTATTATTACTACTATTATATGATTCATTAGAAGGGTACATGCCTTCATTTACACTTAACTCGTCTAGAAGAGCTTGATTAATTTTTTGTCTCACTCTAAGCTTTTGTACTGGCGTGAATTTTTCCATTTGTGGAAGCAAACTCATTAAAAAGTAGTAGTCTCAAATAACTTAGCTCTTGCACGTCCGAGGACATTTCGACACGTCACAAAAATAAATTGCACAACACTGCAATGCAGACGCGCGTGCGGTCACCGCTTGACTGGAGTGCACCGCTCGTTGCCCGCCCCCGCGCCGCCGCCGCGCCGCCCCGCTGCCCGTAAGATTCGAGGCAGAGGCCTTAGTGTGTTAATTAGTTTAAGTTTAAATGTACTAAATAAATGGGCGTATTTACCTAAATTATGAATAAATAAATAAATAATAAAAATGTAATATTTTATTTTGTGTAATTTCCCTTTATTATGTAAACAGGCTATGAAAAAAATACTTTAACTTAATGTTTCATGTTAATATTTAATGTGATATTGAATATTTATAACTATTTTTAAAAGTTTAATTTGTTATTCTCAGGTGGGTGGACGAAAGACGACGACGTTCCTTTAGAAGTGAGGATAAACCAACACAAAGCCGTGTTGAACGAGGGCGTGCTTGATCCTAAATCAACCGTCTTGGCGATATTCCCCTCGCCAATGATGTATGCCGGGCCAACTGAGGTAAGCAAAGTCACCATTTAAAAGTGAAGGTAACTATGATTAACTATGTATTCGAAACGTCTGAAATATATAAAATAAGTTACTAAACGCCTCCCCTTATTTCTGAGAGGGTTGTAGAACAAGGAAGTGTTCGTCGCGCTGTCCCAATGCGTGTTGGCGAACTATCACACGTCTGAGAATTTTTTTTCTTATTTCTCATACATGCAGGTTTCTTCACGATGTTTTCCTTCACCGCCGAGCGCGTGGTAAATCAGCATTTAAAACATAACGTGTAAACATAGCAGAAAATATAAAAAAAAAAAACAAAAACCATTATGGAAACCAGTTTAGTCTATTCGAAGTCTATTCTGTTTAGGTTTTGGTTTATTTACGGATTGTTACATACAGATTTTAAAAGAGCTTGTCGTGTGGTGGCGACTTTTGATAATCCATTATCTAATTTTGTCCCGTGTGTGTTGTCAGAGTCGAATAAATTGGAAAATTCCAGAAAACTAGCAGCTTTAAGGCTGGCCATAGAAGACGTGTCAGGGTTAAGGCCGACTAGAAAAATTGGTTTAGACCCATAAAATATTGTATAGATTCTAGTGGAGGGTTCCAATTCCAATACAGCTTAGAATAAAAGTCCATTGATGAACAGGTTTTTACGAAGATTGCCTTATAAGGAGGGTTTTGCCATAGTTGCCACGCCTTGTAGAAGGATTGGCAACCGCAATTTTTTAATTTTTTTTTATTTGTTATCAGAAATATGTTGCGGCTCTGGGTTCCATCTTCTGTTTTAGTTTTCTTCCGTTGCTTTAAACCACGGGACGATATTGTATAGTGGATATTTTTACACTGCACAGTGTAGTGGAGTTGTTTGATTTTTTTTGTACTTTCGCATAACTTTTTAAGTGGCACGTGGTTTTCTACGAGTTGAGAAAGAAAGGAGCGAAGAAACGTAAGGCTAAAAGTGAGCGTGTTTGCGCAGGTGCAATGGCACGCGAAGTGCCGCATGAACGCGGGCGCCAACCACTACATCGTGGGGCGCGACCCGGCCGGCCTGCCGCACCCCGCGCGCGCCGGCGACCTGTACGACCCGCGCCACGGCGCCATGCTGCTCAAGGTGGCGCCGGGACTCAACGACTTGGAGGTTTGTCTTTGTTCGATTATAACTTTTTTACAAATTATTATCATCTCTATTTAAGTAGACAAGCTTCGGTCGGTTTATTATTTTTTCTCACCACTATCGTTAATAGCACTAGTATATTGTTATTAAAAAGTTATTGCAAAACTAAAACAGGTGTTCGTACGTGTGTTCGTATTGCTTGCGTGCGTGCTTGCGTGCGTACACTAACACTCCGCCTAATTTAATCCACCCATATCAATAGAAATGTGAACAAACCATCGTCGAAACAAGAGTTTGGTTTCTGCAAAAACCGTATGTAATTCTTCGCAATTACAGTTTCAAGTGGTAATTGAACCCAGGACCTGATAATCAACAATTAGGTGTTCTTGCGTAACTATGTCTTAAACATTACAAATAACAGTCCATTGTCGGACATAGGTCTTTTCAATTGTAGCACAGAATACTGGTAGAGAATGCCTTAGGCATTAAGTCGGCCTGTATACCACATGTGTATATAAAGTTTAAATAAATAAATAATAAAGTACGTGAGAGTAATATGGTCATCCGGTTAATATGCTCACTTTCTTATAACTCATAAACTACAACCTAATTTGCATAAATGACTGTGATACGATAGCTCTTCATCAGTCATTCAAATAATAAAGGATCAAAAGGACACCGCTTTGTCGACGCCATTTTGTCAGTTGATATTATAGTAAATACGTGAGAATAATATAGTCACCTTAAACTTTATCGCCCTATAAAACCAAAATTAGTAGGAGAACAGAGACAAAAACACAAAGTCGTATACTATAACTAATATATTAAGAAAAAAAAAAACAATAGCAAAGAAGCCTTGGAAATAATTAGGAACACACTACACAATACAAAAATCGACTACTAAAATATTTACAATAATATCCACTGTCAAAATGGCGTCGATAAAGGAGCGCCTTTTTGACCCTTTATTATTTGAATAACTTATCAAGAGCTATCGTATCACAGAGCGTTCTATGCAAACGACGCTGTAGTTTTTGAGTTATAAGAAAGTGACCATATTAACCGGATGACCATATTACCCTCACGTACTACAGTTAGTTTTTTTTTTAAGTTGATTCTTCGAAGTGTTGCTAATTATTAATATTTTAGTCTTTTTTTTAAACGTCACCTCCACACTAGGATTTTCTCCTGTATCGCAGGGACAGTTTACATACATAGAACAGGCCCAGAACAATTATTTGTAGGCCATACAAATACTTGTTCTGTCCGGGATTCGAACCCGCGGCCCTTAGCGCTGCAACTCATTACTAAGCCACTGTGCCGCGGAGCCGTCACTTGTCTGTTTAACATTTTTTGCTATTTACAAACATGCGACACGCGACTTCATTATTAATGAAAGAGTTGAGAACGGTATAGAATGAAAAGTCAACATTTCTGTTATTATTTAAGCACCCGTATGCTATGCAGTACCTTTTGTCTTTTTGACAGGCCATATTTGAATAAAAAAACCAAAAATAAATATCAAAAGTGCCTAACTTATTACAAAAAAATAATTTATATGTTAACGTAAGGCACGCGTCAGTTCGAGGGGGCGCGTGACAACCTCACAGAATTTGCCCCGCATGCGGGGCATCGTAGCGTAGGTATATTTTCATACTTAAAGCGCGGAGTGAGACAGGCCTGATTGTAGTAAGTCTACCAACACTAAAGTAGACCAGTCTAAAGGAGTGTTTCTGTGTTCACAAGTATATTTCTGGTACTGTAATATAAGGATATTACAGTACCACAAATATATATGTGCAATCGCAACTTTCCTATTATTCCAAAGCTGTCGTCGTTTTTGAAAATAGATATTTTACCAAATAATAAGAATACTAAGCATCACACAGAAAGTGCTAATAACTATATTTTCTTAGATCATCCCGTTCCGCGTGGCTGCGTACGACACATCAGTAGGCAAGATGGCCTTCTTCGATCCCACGCGAAAAGAGGACTTCGATTTCATATCGGGGACGAGGATGCGAGGTAAATAATTTGTAATTAAATTCTGACTATTCGAAATGTATAATATAACTACTAACAAAGCACGTTCAATGTTTACACAAACAGTCTCACAGAATACCAGCATAAAATAGCAGCCTAACACTGCTGTGTTTCGTATGGTGAGTGTAGAGAACCGGAGACCCTTTTTACTGGAAAAGAGACATTCCATGTTAGTCCTCAGGGGTGACAATGCAACTGAATTTTGTTTTCTTATTAAGGATAGATGTAGATGTCTATGGGTCACAGCAACCACTTACCACCAGGTAGACTGTGTGCTCGTTTATCATCCTATAAGATAAAAAAAAACTACAATTAATTGTCATTTATAATTTTGATTCGGCGTTTAAGGAATATATCGTTAGAAATCCTGAAAGATCTAGAAATTAAAGGTTTTGAGAACAAGTAAAGCCAATATAAGAAAATAATGTGCCAATTTCACAGTGGAGTCATGTTATACTTTTATAAGAAGGTCTGTTGCATGTAGTTTTGTGTTATGCCTGTTACGTATGCTTTTAAAGTATACTATAAAAATTTGTCATTAATTTTCAGAAACTATTGAACCGATTTAAATGATTATTTTTATAAAACAGGCTATGGCCTTTATACCGTGTAGTGGCGGTGTAAGAATATCCACTACTCTACTAAAATATATATTAGAATACCTACTGTCGCAAATTCTAATCATATTATGATGTTGTATGTCATTATTAATGATGATCTGAACTACCCACTTATTCCATCCGGAGATATGAACGTTGCTAGGATACGATTTAATATAAACGTGCTAATTACCACGTATTTATGACTTCAGGCATTAAAAGTAAAGTAAAGTTGCAGCCTATTTAAGTCCCACTGCTGGGCACAGACCTCCTCTCATTTGTGAGAGGGTTTTAGGGCAAGGAAATGTACGCCGCGCTGTCACAATGCGTGTTAGCGAACTTCACATGTCTTTGAAATATTTTTTTCTTATTTCTCAGACTTGCAGGTTTCCTCACGATGTTTTCCTTCACCGCCGAGCACGTGGTACATCAGCACTTAAAATTGCAATTAACAATTTCATTGGTGCCGGCGGGGATGGAACCCGGGTTGCTCGAGTACTGTGAAGCTTACAGCGAGCGCTAACCATCTGACCTATCACGGCTCAGGCATTAAATGCGTTACAAATATATCAATTCCTTGTCACCAGGTCTCGCCAAAGCCGGTAAGGAACCGCCAAAAGGATTTATGGCGCCAACTGCATGGAAAATACTTTCCGAGTATTATCAATCGCTGAAATCGAAAATGGACACGAATTAGTGTTAAAAAACTTCAGTACTTATCACACTACTTATTGTATTTTGAAATGCATACGGAATACTTGTTCATGGATACCCTTTTAAAAGGTTTAATATAAAATTATAAAAAAAAACTACTTTGTATTGATACAAATGCCATATTGTACTAGGCAGCTAATAATAAAACGATTACATAATGGGATTAGACATGTTCCTTAGGTTCTTTATTGATACTATAATCGTTATACAAGTATTAAAGAATTTATTAATTTATTACATTACATAATCCTATTAAAGCCAGATGTATTAAAGAAATAAAGTATCGATACAAACGCAGATTACTACAGGACAATTTAAAATTTTTCAAAGTAGTATTTACTATTTATATTCATTTTAATTTTATTTTATGTCAAATGACTTTGCGTGTTGAGGCTCTAAAATGCAATTACTATCCGTGCGTGATATCTTGAGACCCGCGTGTAATGAGACACTCTATATTATATTAATCTACTCTGTGGAATGCAACTCTTCATACGCTAGTATTCGCACTTGCATGCAAATTGAAAATAGTATATTTCATTACAAGTGCGGAAAGCCTGTCATTGCAAAGAGTTCCGACAAATGTCTACCCGAGCCGAGGCGCAACCGAAGGTGAGGGTTGACAGTCGGAACAAGTTGCAATGACGGTTCCGCACGTGTACTGAACAACTATTTTTTTAATACAGTTGCGAATAAATGAAGCAATTTAATAAAGAGCATTTTTGGAAAATGGCGCCAACCGTAAATGAATATAAGCAGAGATTTTTTGTTTTCTTCACCCATTCTGGGTAGGCAAAGGGAACTATGCCCATACAGCCAAGTCTTCAGTAGAATTTTTTTATTGATATGAAATGAAAATTAAATTTAATGAGATGAAATGAAATGTAACCTAACTTATTGAATCAGATCATTAAATCTGATATTGAAACAAATTAGTAGCTTTTTTTAGAAATATTTGCATGAATCATAAAAGTTTTAGTAAAAACTTAGTGGTTGTTTTTTTTCTTTTTAATAGACATTATTTTGACAGTTGGGAAAGAAAACGCACGAGTTCGGAAAAGGTAAAGAAAAAGCACGAGTATGTAATAGCCCACATCCCGAACGCTATACGTCCCTGCAATACGCCACTTTTTGAGCAACTGTATTAAAAAATATCTATCGATATTTATTTTAGGGTATCGAATTCGTATCAATTTCGATATATTTTAAAATGTTGTATTAATCGACAAAATATTAAGCAACAAAAGCCGCTACAAAAGCATTCATGTGTTGTTGTCATTTTTTTGCCGTCGTCCACCTGTCAGTAATAAAATTTTGGGCCTTATCCTAGTACATCATGCAAAACATGACGACATATCAATATTTACCACCGTTTAAAATATCGATACGATATAATATATCCATATTTTTTTTTCACTTGTCCCTCCCTATTGCATGAGCCCGCGACGTACTATAAACTACACCAAATTTTACTACGGCTAGCTGTGACGTCACCACGCCCAGGTCTCAAGTTATCGCGCACGGGGAGACGGGATAAAGGGATTTAGAAGAAAGGGGTTTAGGGGAAATGTAAAGTGCAATAAAAATATTTTTACACAAGTTTGTTACATTCCTCGTTAAGTTTTCTTTTGTGATTTTGTGAGATAATCGCGTGTGTAAAAATTACACATTCCGTTTTGTATTTATTTATTTTTTTCTATTTATTTACTAACATTTATTTTGGAATCACTAAGATTAGTCTTAATGTATAAGAGATTTTAAAAAAGTTGTTAATTAGGATTTTTAATTCGTTATATTTTGCAAACAATGAAATATCAGTACATTTTGTATGTAATGTATTTTACATTGAGAAATTATAAACACAGAATCTTTCATTATGATTTATTTATGGTTCATACTTCCAACGAAGTAGCCATAGAATGGTAAAAATAAATCTTCTTTCTCACGTCAATGCAATGCGTATTACAGCAGCAGTAGAATAAAATGAAAATTATATGTATATTCGAATAAAGCTACAATCCAAGAAAAACATTTTTTTTTCATGTATAATGCACAAACGAAATTTATTTATCAAAATTTATTGTTTACTAATAATAATAATATGTATAAAATTTTGAAATGGACATTTAATTTATAAATTTGTTTTGTTGTTTTTAACACATTTAATAAAGAGCAATGGCTTTCTTACATAAAATTAGTTGAGAAGAAATGGTAGCGTCTATATATCAAAAATATCTTAAAATGTTAAGCGTCAGTCCCTTAATAACGCTGTCAATGAATTTTGTCCTGAGAAGGCGTCAAAAAATTTTTTTTATATTTGAACCTTTTTAGGTTATGTCCTATGTCACTTGGAAAACTGTGATTGTTTGATGTTAGCTTAATACATAATACATAATTGAGAGTTTTTAGATTATTGTATCTCTATTATATATTTGCATACTATAAATGTATATTTCTGGCATGGCTCCAGGGCCTTTGTATCATAGTGACATTCTCAGAAGGGCTAGAACCCAGAGCCGTAAAGCCAGTAAAAAAACAGTGACATTTTGTTTTAGCTAGTGTTGGCATAACATTAAATGAAATTGTTACATAGTACTATGATTGAGATAATTGTAGGAAATTCTTTGTAAGAGACTTATTCTCAGCCATATCTCTTTTATTTTTATTATTACTGATAGTACAGGTATTACTAATAATAACTTAATATAAAAATATTTTATGTGTTGTGTTTATAAAAATATTTTGTGATAGTCTTACAAAGTATATACGAAAATAGTATGAATATACTAAATGGCAACACTTGAACAGAGTAAAATGATTTAAGTCATTTGATATTCTCAAAAATGTTTTTTTTTTGTGGCTTTAATTAAAATACATTTTTATTTGAAAAATCATAGAAAAATAATAAAACTCATTTTATATATAACTTATTTCTAGACGCGATAATTTTTGTCAACTAGTTTTCTGCCATTGCTCTTTAGTATTTGTTTTTCCTCGGAAACTCCTTCTCTTGTGTTTAAATATCTCCAATTAAAAATCCGATTTTAATTTAAACGTATAACTCGATTGAGCTAAGTTTGCACACCTCATACAGATGACATAACAACAAAAATAATCCAAAAATAAACAAATAGGAGACGATAATTTAGACGAGCGTGTGTGCAGTGATGCAAACCGTACTGACTCGTCTGTATGAACGCGGGGTTTGAGAGTAGGGTAACGGCCCCTCCTCTCGTATTGCAGTGAGGTGCAAACTTAGCTTAACAGAGTTGTAAATCGTTTTATTACAAAAAGTGGTTTATAGTGGCTGCTTTGAACTATAGTCTGTTTCAGAAAGAAGTCCTGTGGAAAATATGCGAACTAAAATTTAAAGTATGAAATTTGACATCAAATGTCAATTTTGTGAAGACTGTTTCTCTGCGGCTAAAGGATTTATTTTGTAACAAAGACTTCTTTTAATTCCAAGACCAATAATAAACCACGTTTTGTAATAACACTGTAAGAATATAATGGTGCTTATAAAGCTATAGAATGGTTTTATTTAATAAATAGTTTTATGTAATTTGGGTGTATTAATTTCGACATCAGCACCTCTCGCATTCCCTCCCTTTGCCAATCGTTATCACTATTTAATACATACACTGCAACGTACAGCTTACGACCACATGGCTAAGCGGTCAGAGTACTCGATTAGTGTGCCGTACGTCCGGAGTTCAAAACCCAGTTGAAACCCAACATTTATGTAAATACACACTTTTTCGTTTTCGGGCCTGGATATGTAATACGTGACAGTAGTAGCCTAATCGTTATGAAGCTTAAAGGCCGTGGGTTTGAATTCGCTATTCGACCACTATCATGAATCGCACCTACTTTCATCACTTGCCGCTATATACAAAAAAAAACAATCCGTGAAGGTGCTTTTAGGTATCGTGATATAATCATTGTAATGTAATCGTTTTCAGATAATATAGGGGCATATAAAAATTTAAATAAATGAGGAAACTTACAATTATTAATAAATTGTAATTAATTAATAATAATGTGAACTTTTCATTTTAAAGTACCTATGTGCGTGCCACTATTTAAACGACATCTAGTTGGCTCCAGGTAACATAGTAGCATAGGTATAGTAACATAGTCTAAGACACAGTGGCCGGCTACCTGTATGTATTTGAACCATTTGACCAGACCTAGATTTTTGTCCAGAGAGTCCCCTATACCTACCAAACATGAAGTGGGGACTCACTAAGCCCAGCGCTGCGGACGCAACTACTGCGTAGGTGAGACAGGTATTAAAATTAGACTAATTTTAAATGTAGGTATTTCACCACGTCTGCCATTTAATAAATTTAAAATATATTGTTATTGAAAAATAACAATGGCACATCATTATCGCGCGCCTAACGTCGTGGCAGACAATTTTGAAAGTACCAACAAAAATGAAATTTTGAAAGTAATTGACCAGGTCTGCCATTATTATATTTCATTTATAATAATAGCAGAATTGGCCCTTAGATGCTTATATTTATCACGGCAGACTATTTCTTTAAGACACATCAGTAGACAAAAAAATCTTCACCTTCTACCATTTGTACGTGGTAGAGCCATGCTGCAGCTATATTCATTTTGGGCACGAATGGGTCGGCTCACTCGGCTCGACGGGGGAAGGACACAGAATACCAGCGTAAAATAGCGGCTTAATGCTGCTGTGTTTCGTATGGTGAGTGTATAGAACAGGAGACCCTTTTTACTGGAAATGTGGCATTCAATCTTAGTCCGCACGGCTGACAACGCATCTGCATTTTGATTCGCAAACGAGGATAGATGTAGATAGGGCCTATGGCCCACAACAACCACTTACCATCAGATTGACTGTGTGCTCGCTTGTCACCCTTATACTATAAAAAAAACTGGTACATTTCCCATACAACACGCAGCACAGCTAAACCATATTGAGAAGTCTCCGCAGTAACTTCGGTATCG